AATGAGGACCCAGATTGTTGAGGGCAATATGCTGATATTTGTAAACCATTCAGAGTGCTGTAAAGCACTATGGGGCGGTATATAAGTCTAAGTGCTATTGCCATTATTATGTTTCTTCTTTACTTTTCTTTAAATCATGACTCAAATTTTAAGAAGTAAGTAAAAACACGTCCTTGCATGTTTTAGTTCATGGTTATTATTGAGAAAGGGAGAACTTGTTTTAGTATGCATGGAAAATGTGTCTTCTCAAAGTGGATGTTCCCCACCCCATATTTTTTCAGTTCTTTTTTTAAATTTTAAGATGAAACAAAATAAGTTCCCAAAACTGAATTATTCTTATTCTAGAAATAAAAATGGGCCAAACATAATGAATTTAGACAGGAATGAAAATTGAAACAGCCCTTCTATATATGATATGCCGTACGTTAAATAAATAAATAATGAAACAGCCCACTTTGATGGAATCTGATGCCAATAATTTTCACATGTAAGTGTGAATGTTTGTTTATTGGGATTTGGTTGAAACTTAAGCTGCTACTTCACCAAAATAATGTTACTAAATTTTTTATGCCAATCAGCACAAACCTAAATAAATGAAAAGGCCAATGCCTATCTAAATTGATACTTTAATTGCTAAATCTGTGCTAAATTCAAGCCCCTCCCAATATGTATGTGGACTTTTTTTTCCTTTTTGACCTCTCACTGGGGTTATTTTTTAGGACATTATTTAGGGGCTACCATGTGCCAACATTGAGCCACTGTTATTTATTTGTTAAATTTATTTGTCACCCATCTAACTGTGGGGCTACTCTGGGCAGCTTACAGGCATGTCCCTAATCTAGGTGAAGTTTTGTTATGAAAACAATTTTTTTGCTATTTTTTTGTATTTTTTTTAAAAAATTCTGTTTGTAGATACTTTTGTGGTCAACTACTTGTTTCAGTTATCATAATCTACCTAGATTTCTGTTGGCATGTTATATTAGTAATATACGCCATATCCTTTTTTGTTCAAGTTAGTGTATGTTTTAAAAAGTTATCATTCTAATATGTGTCACCTGTGTTTACAAAAAATTATATTTGGATGTGCCAAACTGTAAAGGCTATAAGCACTCTCCAAAGCACCCACCAGCAAGACAAGAAGTAGTGGATGGAAATTTATCGAGAGATCCAACCTAAATCTAAGGAGAAATTTCCTGACAGCAAGAACAATTAATCAGTGGAATGGCTTGCCTCCAGAAGCTGTGGGCATTCCGTCACTGAAGGTTTTTAAGAAGAGACTGGACAGCCATTTTCTTGAATTGTATGGGGTCTCTTGCTTGAGCAGGAGATTGGATTAGAAGACTTCCAGGTCCCTTCCAACTCTGTTATTCTGTAGTCTATTCTGTATTATTTAAGGCAAATTGGTGATTATAAGATAAGCTTTCATGTTTCTCCTATCCTGAGACCAACCTAGGCATGGTTTGAAAGGTAAAATTGACTGGTCATTTTTGACCAAAACAACTATGAATGGTAGGTGAAGGTAATGAATTAGATTGGAATTGCGGTTTTGGGTGGGACTGAACTTCCTACTTGTTTAGAATGAAAACATATTCTCTTTTCTTGTTGTTTTTATAATTGTTGAGAGGGAGCAACACAAGTATAATGTGAGAACCTCAGTGCTGGGGTTTCTGGCTACTCCTTTGATTAAAATTTCCTCTGTATACAAACTAACTCAATGGCTGAGGCTTAATTTCACTTCTGGAGCTTTTAAGGAACTATGCTGCAGGCTAATACTACATCCTTTGAAGTATCTTATATTCATATTCGTATTTCCTGGTAAAACAGTGACTTTGCATATTTATTCAATAAATATCTGCAAGATCACTTTATTGACTCAATATAAAATTCAACAACATAAAATGTTTGCAAATGTTTGGTTGACACTGCTAGATCTTCCAGGAATATGTCTTGCTGCATCACTGTTGTGGTAGTAACTTCTAAAAAAATGTATTTAGTACATACGAGTAACACCTCAGTGAGAATGTCAGCTGAGAAAAAAAAGCCTCAAACCCTCTGAAACAGGGGTGTTGAAACTGCTGGCCCCCGGCTGATTTCATCATAATGAAACCGTGCCCACCCCTTTGCCGGCAATGCAAAAAGGGTCGCAATATGTTGCGACATGTCATGTGACGGGGCGAGTTTGACAACCCTGCTCTAAATCTTCACAGTATAGCTCTAAACATGTCAGATGCTTAATGTAAATCAATAATAAATCCTTTTGGTTTCCAAACATTCTGAATATTAGGAATGATACTTCTCACAAACTATCAAGAATTAATGGATGCATTAAATAATATTAGCTTTTAAAATGCACAAAATCAGCCCTATAATATTAATATTGAGTCATAATATGATTCATTTATACCATGTCTAGTCTCCGACTACAGGTAGTTGTTGTTTAGTGACCATAATTGGGTCTGGTGATTGCATAAATTGGTCACTAAGTGAAAAACACATGACCATGTCTCTATTTACAGTTTTACTTCCTTTGCTTTACAGCAGGGGTGTCAAACTGGCAGTCTGCAGGCTGGATGCATCATGCGCAAGCCACGTCCACCCTGGCTCCGCCTAGGCAAAAAACATCACGATATGTCACGTGACATGATTGAATTTGACACTGTGCTTTACAGCATCAAAAGGATTTGATCTCCAAAACAGCAAGGAGAGTTTCCAGAACTTGACTCACAGGAAGCTGGGTAAAAGGGCAAATCTTAACCCTTTCCCCCCACTTTCCTATCCTTTGGAATATTCACCAGGTGCTGAGATAATTAGCTAAAAGAGAATTTATATTTGTATTTACATTCATTGGCGCAGAGGGGCTTACAGGAGAGTAAGCAGGTATACAATGGGGAGCACAGGTAGAAAGGAATGTGCTGAAGCTGGCTATTTGCCTAGCCTGCTTGCAGTTGCATACTGTGAGCTGCTTAGGGGGTAAATAAAAGCTTTTAGTATGAAACTGATTAGGTTCTTGTCAGTGTCAGGCAGAAGTGCAAGCTGGCAGGAGGGCTGTAACTAATTAAAGTTACAGAGCTTTCCTTGTTAATTAACGGTTAGCATACTTTAGGGATGTGCTATGCTGTGGAGAAAAGCAGCTCAGGAAGAGATAGATTGTTTAGGCAGTCATTTCATTTTCCAAGAGGAGAGAAAGAAAAAAAAATGGTCAAGCATAGAGCAATATGTACTAATTGACTAAAATGACAAACACATGATTGAGAGAGAGAGATGCTGTAGAAGTAGTAAAGCAGGCATTGGTTGCAAAGTTACTCTTTCATCACTGTAATAACTGCAAATGGTCACTGTCCAAGGCGCTTGCTAAACAAGGACTACCTTTATATGTTAGTTTATATTACACTATCTATGGTTTGCTAATTTTTGCCTTTCCTGGCCATAAATACAATATCTGTTTCTAATCGTAATAATTAATAGTGTCTTAATTCTGTTTAGTAGATTTTAGAAAATGAACAAATGCTTGAAGAATTGTAGATTAATTTTGTATCATGAAAGTATTGGGGACCTTTCTTGGGGACTGATTATATTTATCTGGGCTGCAAAAGTCTGGCTAACACCTAGATCAGGGGTGTCAAACTGCTGGCCCACGGGCCGGTTTCATCATACTGAAGCTGCGCCCACCCCATTACCAGCAATGCAAAAAGAGTCGCAATACATTGTGACATGTCATGTGACATTGCGAGTTTGACACCCGTGACCTAGATGGAAGTAAAGAAATGCAGAATATGCCTGGTGGAAAGTATAAAACATTTTTCTTATAGTCTCATGTTTGATAATGATAAGAAAATGGACCAAGCTGGGAAAATATCAAGAAGAGATTTAGAATCTTTCTTTCTCTCTCAGGCATAACTATATCTCAAGAAGGGAGTCATTCTCCCCAGTTTTTCTTTTACTTCATTAGTTGTTAAAAGTGAGGCGTGGAGTGTGAATTTGGTAGATTTTTTTCTATTTCCTGTGAGAATATTTTTACAAAACTTTCACAGCACAAAACACAGTTGACTTTCTGATATTAAGTGGGTTATTATGATTTAAAATAATGATAACTTATAAATCATTGAAGAGAATTTCTGTGGAAAGAATTTCTATGGAAAGAAAGACCCCCTAGATCCATACTATGACTAATTGAAATAGGACATAATTATTCTAAACTAAGCTCTTGAAATTTCTAGCTTCTAGTACAGTTATGATGACTTAGGTTCCATGGAGGTGCTAACAAATAAAAAGTTTGCCATAATGATATTTTCCAGTGAAAATTCAACTGTTGAAACAGTTGATATTATTTTGTATTCAGCTATCATATCCTTAGTCAATAATCAATAGTGGCTGGGGTTGAGAAGAATTAAAGTCCAACACTTTGCATCAAGAAGATGTTAAACTAGAAAAAAAAGAGGGAGACTGCAAAAACACAGAACATACCACCAAAGACTAGACCAAATAGACTATGGCACAAAAAGAGGTAGTTAACATCATCTTCTTTCTGTTGTTTTAATTTCATAATTATTATTTATATTTATTAGGAAATATCATTTTTTCTTGTTCCTGTTACTTGTTATGTTCAAAATGCTAATAAAACAATTGCTATATCCTTCCCTGGAACAGTAGAATTTGTTTCCTATTCACAGTTCTTTTAGTTATGAAACCATGTGAGCAATGGCGTCAACAGAGACTAATCATAATCCTCAAGACACATATCAAAGGGACAGGATTTGGATCATGAAGCTGCACCCCTCCCCCATTTCCTGCAGGTTTTCTCTGCTCCCACCTGAGCATAAACATTTATTACATAACTAACTTTATGCCCCTTGGTATGTTTAAAAGCTGTAAAATAAGTATACTTCTGTACAGTTTAAAGTTAATTTACCTGTCATATTAGTATTGTGTATATAAATCCACAGGGGCCATCAAGATAGAAACAAAAGGATAAAAAATATGTTCTTCTTTGCATCTTACAGGCCTAAACAACAACAGCACAACTTTTCCTTGTTTCCTTCCACAAAAGCCTGGAATTTCAGAGGGGTAAGTGCTTGTATTTTAATGATTAGTGTACAATATGTATGTAGGTTTTCTTTCTGGTGATCTTATTTCCATCTACCAGAGCATAATTGCAATGTAACTTAAGGTAAGATTAGGCAATTCTACAAAATTCAAGTTCAAAACAGTCACTTAGTTTGTGTTTATGGGAGCCAAATTTATACAGATATTCAGCTTGTTTCATAAGGGATTATTTTTATTCAGGTGGTTGTCTTTTTATATAATCAAACACTCCTAAGGACATTAATAACCATAATCACATTCAAACTTTATTTTTAAACATTATAGATCTGAAGGCTTCCAAGCACACGTAGTGAAGCAAAATATATATTTAAACTGATATGCTGAAAGATTGACTGTCTCTACCTGAAGAGTTTAGTTCTTTTAAAATAACAGGACCCATTTAACAGCAAGCATTTATCTTTCTATCCATCTGGACTGATGGTTCCTTTGTGATCAGTTTACCTATGAGTCTTTGCCAGCTTACTGGTCTGGTACATGTACCCTGGGAATTAGGAATTACCCTAAAAATCTGAAGATTTCTACTGATACTGTATGGGAGGTCTTCAATGGTATATTCTCATTTCTTACCAGTTGGCTCCCAGGATGGGGATGGTTTAGGGACTTATTCCTTGGTCTTCTCTTTATAGTATCCTTTGTTCTTGTTTCCTGCTGTGTCCTTCACTGTTTGCCCCTAATCACCTCTGGTTGTCCTAAACGATGTGGGCAACATACTGCAGAAGCTTATCCTCTGTCTTTTCAGTTAGGTGGTCATGCTCCTGCACACTGCTCGAAGCATGAAAGGGGGGATTGGTGACCAGGAATTAGGGGACAGTATCAATTGTGAATATGTACAGATGAGCCCTCTCTCTCTGGCCACTTGCAGAGTGATGCACAATCTGGAGGCCCTCTTGAACTCAGGTGGCCCTCTTCCCACCTGATGGGAAGTTTCATCCCTATGAGGTAAACCAGGATAATTTAGTACAATTCTTTCTCTGTGGTTAACGAAGGAAAGAGAAATTGTATTGCTAAGGGACGAATAGGTCCTGAGGATGCATAGCAATAGCGCTTAGACTTATATACTGTCCCATAGTACTTTACAACACTCTCTGAATTGTTTTCAGTGTCAGCATATTTACCCGAACAATTTGGGTCCTCATTTTACCAATCTCAGAAGGATGGAAGTCTGAATCAGCCTTGAGTTTATCAGGATCAAACTCCTGGCTGTGGACACAGTTAGCCTGCAAAACTACATTCTAACCACTGCACCACCAGGGCTCCATATGTATAGTATAGGAGTGTATAACTTTCTCCAGATTGGGAGTTGCACATGGCCTTTGAGTGGCATGGAGAAGATGTAGTCCATAAAGTAGTTTAGCCCAGGATAAAAAATAAATGTGGTTTGGTTTCATTTAATTAATTTAATAAGGTTACACTTCAGTGTTACATTTAATAATTTTCTTCTCTTGTATTAAAAATTATCACCTCAAATTTTGTAAGAGTTCTGAGAGTTGAATCCTATGGATCCAGCATCTCTAGAGCATGGGTTCCCAATCTTGGCAACTTTAAGACATGTGCACTTCAATTCCCAGAATTCCACAGCCAGCATGGCTGGTTGAGAAATTCTGGGAGTTAAAGTCCACGCATCTTAAAGTTGCCAAGATTGGAAAGCCATTTTCTAGAGTGTAAAATATGTGAATCTGTCTTTCATGATAAATGGAATTGCTCACAGTTAGGGAAGGACCTATCTAAAGCAGAGTATCTGGCTGGTCATTTTGTAGATTAAATTGTTCATATTTAATCTCCAAGCTAGAGGATGATGTGATCTTGCCTGAATCATCTGAGTCAGATGTTGAAGACCATACTTACACTATTAGCCTTCAGATTCAGCAAGCAATCTTTCTGGGGCGATTTTAATGGGTGGTTCTTACTATTATTATTATTATTATTATTATTATTATTATTATTATTATTATTATTATTATTATTATTATTATTATTATTATTATTTATATTAGGAGGTGCACCAGCAGGGACATGAAGGGAGGCGTTTTTGATGGCTGTCGCCTTATATAGAACAATTGATGCCTCTAATGGCATTCTGGAAAATATTTAAGACCTGGCAATTCCCAGAAGGCTTTTGGAGGTCAATAGGTACAACAAGAACTATGTCATTGCTACTGTTACATTTTTATTATTTTAGAGTAATTGCATTTTATTTTATAATTTTGGTATCATATTATCTTACTTACAGTATATACCCCATAGAGCTTTTAGAATAGTGCAGATTATAAATCTTAAACATGAAGTATGTAAGAAAAAATAGCACATCTTACATCTACACAACCTGATAACACACCTGGAATATAGGATTGCAAATTGAGTTATTTTCAGGGAGTATTTGCACTTTATGGGTGATTATTATTACTCTTCTTAGTGCTCGTTATATGAATTCTGTGGGTATTATTTATTATTGATCTCGTTTATATGAACAGGCCGTTAGGTCTATTGTTAAGTACAATCAAAAGATTTGTTTCTGCTGGAACAAGAGAGTTTATTTTGGCAAGAAGGTAGAGATCTTATCAGCAGTTCATTGTGTGATGTTTAAGAGATGCCTGTAGCCTATTTCAAATAAAATTTAAAAATAATATAATATAATATAATATATAAGATATGATATAATACAATATATAATATAATATAATATAATAATATATAATATATGATATGATATGTTAATTTTAGGAAAATTCCTATTCGTTCCAGATTGATACATTCAAGTTTTTAAAGAAAAGTTTCAAAAGAACTTTTCTCCTTTCCTCTCTCAAAAGCAAAAGCCTTCAAAGTCTGAAACTGAAAACAGGGCAGGAAAAATTTAACACTATTTCATTTGCTCATTCAAAGGCTAAGTGCAACACAGGACCGGAGAACTTTGTTAGAGATGTAATTGGTTGATTGTAATAACTTAGAGGGTTATAACTGAACCAATAAACAACAGTTTTGAGAAAAACATAACTTTTACATGTGTATTTCAGCAGGCACAAATCTTTAAGAAAAATACCTGTTCTAAAATGGGATTGACCAATTTTTAATAAAATTAAAATGTTTAGATAGCTTTAGATAGTTTGAGACTTTATTTTAATGTCATCTTAATTAAGAGAAGTTAATTGATCTAATTAATAGCATATGGGCTGTATTGCAAAACAAAACAAATTGTTATATGCCATCTTGAGGCTCCTGTGTGAATTGGGCAGCCATATAAATTTATTTAATAAAGAATTAAATATGTGAAAAAATTATCTAATTAAACAGAATATGAAGTTCAAATAGATGTCACCAGTGGTGGGATTCAGCCAGTTCGCACCACTTCAGCAGAACCGGTAGCTAATTCTTTGTTGCCCAGGCCCAGAATGGACTTCCAGAAGCGGCAACCACACAAAGAACCGGTTGTTCACATATTTGAATCCCACCACTGGATGTCACACACAGTGCACAAATTATCCGACTAGTTTCATTGTAAGTAATATAAACTATGGCTTTGATGACTTTCGTTTCTCAAGTTATTTTTTCATCTAAGACAATATTTGAAGATGATTATAACACTTAGCCCAAATATACACTTTCAGATTGATGTGTACTCAGCTGTCATATTTGGGTTTTTTTTTTTAGCCTGACCAGCCCTCTGAATGAATCACTCTGTGCTAGTTTTTTATTGGATAGCATTGTAGGCAGCTTTCTGGGTATAACTTATACAGGAAAATGCTGATGTTTCTTTTGGGGTTTCCTGTGTCACATTGTTAAGTTACAATTGCTGCTTTTTCTTTTGTATAAATGTGAAGGCGAAATAGAAAACATTAACAAGTGCAAACTTGCTGTTTATACCAGCCTGAAGCATAAATACTGTACATGTAAATGGATGATTCATCATACAAGTTCTGAAATTGAGATTCCTGATTAAATAATTTGATGATGAGGGTGTCACATAATTGTCAGTAAACATAGTCTCAACATTTCCTATTATTCCAATTTAAAACTCATGAACATAGTTTTCATAATAGATTTTGAATTTACAGTAGTTTATAGGTTTTTGAACATAAAAGTGAGTCTGGCTAGGTGTTGCCTTCTGATTCTCTTTTCAAAGTTCAATGCATTGATTTCGCTGTGTGTTAGTAGCAGTATAAATTGTAAGATAAGTATTTTCATTTAACTCTCACGGTCATGCTTACTAGGGCAGCCATTCGATTTCAGTTTTAGCATCCCATCTTCAAAATGAGAGTAGTGTCTTCTCTGGCTGGGAAAGTGACTACTGAGGAACAATTGAATTCTGTATCAGTGTTAATCAGTATTTTTATCCAACTTAATTTAAAAGAAAACTGAATTAGGGTAAAGAGAACAGAAGAGAAGCTTTATTTTGCATTTATGGGAAATTTAGTGTTTAAAGTTGTTAATTTATTGTAAATGTTATTATAACTTATTGTTCCTTAACAGAATTATCCATTGAATCTTGAAATATAAGATTAAATGACTGAAAATGAATAATATTTTTCACTAACCTCCCTCCACTGCTTACTAGATCTCTTAAGATATGTTGACTAGACTTCAGTCTCATTATAAGTGTAGCTTATTGTTAAAAGTAAAAAAGGTAAATTTTACTAGAAATCTGTCACTTCCTTGCTTTTCAGTATATAAAAGATATCACAAGCTAAATATAACATTAAAAGTGCATCTGATATAAGAGTAAAAATTCAATTGTTTTTAATTTGCCCTAGAAAATACCATGCTGTTACATTTTAGATTTCCCATTGTTAATTATAGCTTGGTACAGGGTGTTACTTTGTCGTCCTGTTGCCAGCTCTTTGTGAACAACGTATGAACTTGACCTTTTTTTTAATTTCCAGCCCCTGTGAGAACTGTGTGTTTGCTTTCTAATTTTCCTCCTCCTCCTTCTCCTCCTTGTTTATAATTTGGGGGAATGCCAAATTATTTGATTTAATGGTAGATGCCATGGAACCTATCTATTTAGATGTTTATGTTCAGGGAGTAGTTAGAGTCAGGGTTTGTTGGAACCTTTGACCTTCCAGGTGAATTTCATCTATTATATTTTCACAGCACTTATTGATGATTTTATAGTTTCCACCTTTCATGATAGTGTGTGCGGTTCTTTTTCCATTCCTGTTATAGCAGCCTTGCCAGGTAAGATAGGCTAAAAGATAAGGACTAGTCTGTGATCATCTAAGAAGTCTCAGGATCAATTGTCATCCTGCTTTGATTGGAGGACAGACCATGTGAGGAGGCATTAAATATGAAATTTATAAAATGTTTAAAATGTTCAGCTTGGAAATATATGAATAATTAAGAAGGACAAAGAAAGTGTGAAGGTGAAATTAATTTTTTTCTTGAGAGTCTGTCTGCTCGAGCTAATGCCGGTAGTGTTCCCATTAAAAGCAAATAGCAGCTTACAAGAAAATAATATGGAAAGGGAAGAAAAGAGAAGAAGTTGCTTTTGTTTGCATTCTAATCTAAAGTGTTAAAAGCCTACTTGTTAGACATCAAACTGCATTTAACATCTAGTTTGATATGTAGACAGGTAAGTAAACCTATTTAAGACAAATGTTTCGAAAATTATCTTGGAGGTGCACATTCTTCTACAGTTGCCCTTCCTTACAAATGATTGTTCACATGGGTAATCTGACTAGCAAAATTGCAGTCTTGATTATTTTTTTCTTCCACCAATAACTTTATCACTTACATGTCTAATGTTTTTAATGTTGATAGATGTAGGAGGGAGACTAGCAGAACCAGGGGGTGGTGTCAAGCAGAGCATCAGTTTAGAGTATCTACGTAGTCATAACATGAGAAAGTCCAAATGAATGATTTTACATTTATCTAGTTTTACTCAGGTGCAAATCATTAGTCTGAAAAGATTTGTTTGCATACACCAGGAGTGTCAAACTGCCGGCCCATGCGTCATGGCGAAACAGCACCCACCCCATTGCTGGTAAATAAGCTCCAATTATGTTGTGGCTTAAAAGCTAGAGTAAAACTTAGAAATAAACATTGCTGTTAATTTGAATAAAATACAGTTCTTGTTCCTGAATTTGGACTTAATCAGCTAACATTGCACTTCAGGAGGATCATGTTATAAAGAGAGGTGATGCTTGTATCCAGGTGTTTGGTACATATGGTAGATGGATTAATATATGGAGTTGGAAGGTTGAGATTTTTGTATTATTGTCTTCTGGAAAATGATTAAGACAGAACTCTTCCAAATAGCTCTTTAGCTTAGTTCAGAGGATAACGTCATTGATTTGCTGAATTTGTATGTTTGTTTCCATACTTTCACTGCAGATTTTTGTGTGTGTGTCTGTGTGTGTGTTTATGTTATAGCTGTAGTAATCTGAAACTGTAAATAAGAAGTAAATATACGGGCCACATCTAGTACTATGGTGTTCACACAACAGTTTCCTTTTATAGCCTCTTTGCAGTTTCTCTCCAGTCAAGTCAAGATTGTCCCCAATATTTTGAAACATATTTTGGGTGTGGAAAAATGAAAGGGGAAAAAGAATCTATTTACCAGTGTCTTTTTTCCCAACAAACAAAATTAAGAATATCTAATAGGATAGATATTTTTATAGTGTTTATATATTTATGGGTTTTATATGTAAATAATTGTTCAATTTTGATTTAATACTGATCTTCTGCACTTAAAATTTTATAATCAGTTTGTAGTTTTAAAATATTAATGGAATTTACTATGAAATGGAGAATATTACAAGTATTATAAGTATAAGTGGTTATAAGTATAATTAACTGTCAGAACAATTAATCAGTGGAACAACCTGCCTCCAGAAGTTGTGAATGCTCCAACAGTGGAAGTTTTTAAGAAGAGACTGGACAGCCATTTGTCTGAAATGGTATTGGGTTTCCTGCCTGAGCAGGAGGTTGGACTAGAAGACCTCCAAGGTCCCTTCCAACTCTATTATTGTTGTTGTTATTAAAATTTATACAGCCACCCACTTTATTAAAATTATGTATGTTACTTAACACAACATCCTCTTTTACATGTACTTTTTCCAAACTCTTTCAGGAATGCATGTGTGTGTGTAGGTGTGCAGATATTTCTTGAAAGGGTTTAGTAAGAAAGAAAATTGAGAGCATGCACAGTGTGTGAGCAGTTGTAAATAAGAAACATATTCTTTAATTGAAAAAATATTTATATTACCATTACTTCTCTGTATTCTGCTACTGAACTCCTTTGTATTCTAATTTTATAGAAGAAACGCAAGCAGAGTACCCAAGATGAAGATGCAATCAGTGTGTGTAGCTTTGATTCAAGTGTAAGTATTTGGAACATGGAATCATTTAATGAAGTTCAATTTGTTTTGTTAATACAATGTATTGCTTGATATCTCAGTTCAAACACAGTGAAATTGTATTTCATTTGTTGGGTGTTCTAGTTGTATGGTCCAGCTTGAAACCAGCATAGAAGCTCTATGTTGATTATATTTAAATTGCAAAGCTATGTCTTTATATGCTAATGCAAACATAAGGCTAAGATGATAGGGTTGGGAAATAGATTGTTTCTTTGTTTATCATTGCTTGTGCTTGCATGACAGTGTTATAATATTCCCAGCCTCCAGATATATGGATGCTGTAAATTTTAACAATAACTGATAATTGTAACAGTAGGGGTCCACATATCGGGATAGCAATCAGGTCAGGATAGGCTGCTTTGTAGCATCTGAAGGAAAAACAGCTGCTTAAAGCAGGGAAACCTAAAAAGAAGGAAGACGAGAATCCCTGAAAAGGAAGTTAAGTTGTTGACTATATATAAGAAACAGTTTTCTAATTTATGCATCACACTCAGTAATAATGCTTTGTTAAAGTGATTTTAATTTTTGGCAACTTCTGAGTGTAATGGTTAATCACCAACCACCATCACCATTCATTTTTATTTATTCAAGCCAAGCATCTCTTAAGAGTGCAGAACAAATATATTAAAATCAGAACTAGCTAGAGAATGTAAACATGTCCTGTTTTAGATCTCTTTATCACAATATTTTCCAATTTGGAATGGCCAGAAATAGCCTGCATTCAAAGGAATTCAGAATATAATTCAAAATCTGTTATAGATGGCTGGTTCACTAACCATACCACTTGAGATGAGGAACAACAGCCGTAAGTGAGCACATTGATGCTAAGCAAGGTTTCTGGCTTAATGGACATGAGAATGAAATTGTTTTTATTGTAACTTAATTGCTAATCACCAAGAGTTGGATTGAATGAATAACTTCATCACCATATAATAGTAATCAAACAATTTAAAAATCAGTTTATTGTGTATAAATAAAATACACAAACACATAAGTACATAAGTTCTACTCAAGTATTGATCAAAACTCTGTAAGAAGCAGTTTGTTTCCAGACAAGAGCAATTTTTTTCCTACCAGTTTGCTGTTGGAAGCCATTATCTAATCTGAGAAACATATTAGATTTAATAAACTTCTTAAGAATTTTGATAAATGTATTTTCTTGTACCTAAGTAAACCCAGTATTCCCCCCCCCTGTTCTTTCTTTTCAATCAGTAATTTCTGCCTCTCACTTCTGATTTACCAGAGACTCTAGTACAGTGGTTCTCAACCTTTTTAATGCCGCGACCCCCAACTGGTCGTAAGTCAAGGACTACTCAACCGGTCATAAGTCGAGGACTACTCAACTGGTGCAGCACCGTTTGCAGAATGGGACTTTTGGCGGGCTCAGCAGGCAGAGACAGCCTGGACAATTCCTATTGGCTTTTGAAAGCCAATAGAATTAGACTCTATTCAAGAGAGTCTATTCTATTGGCTTTCAAAAGCCAGTAGAATAAGAGGGAGTAGCACAGCTAAGGAAAAAGGGGAAAAAATGGCGGACTGCGTTGTTTGGCGACCCCCTTGAAATGGTCATTTGACCCCAAATGGGGTCCTGACCCACAGGTTGAGAACCACTGATCTAGTAAGTTTGCCTTAGCAATTTAATCAAATAAACTAAGGCTTTTATTTTATTGCTAGTCTATTATTTTCTGCTAAATTGTAAAGGAAGAAGAAGTGGTGTGAGCATGAAGTTTTTTCATGATGTATTAAACTGTGGCATGGTGTATACAGGCAGGCAGACTGAATCATGAAATCCCTATATTCTGGAAAATAGGAGTTTTGAGATGACAAACTATAATTTAGTCAGGTGAAACTGAGTCTGTGTGGTTTTTGGGGCACTACTTTGATTTAAATCCAAATACTAGTCTAACTAAATTGATAGTTGAAAGTACAGTTAACCAATACAAGTAATTTGTAAGGTGCTCCAGAAGATTTTGTGTGAAAATCTTTAATAATAAAATTCTTAATTTGTAGAAGGTACAGCTGCCATCCACAATTCCTATTTTGTGTATTTATCAGATTTCTAATTTTTTTAGATATCTTATATAAGCTCTACAATATTATTCTATCTATCCTTGAAAGATGTAAGAGTTATTGTATCTTATACTGTAGAGTAGACATAAGCTAAAATATAACCTACTGAAAATAAGAGATAAGGAAATAAAAATTAAATATGCACATAGAACTAGATTGTAAAAGGAGGTGCTTATAATTGATATTTCTGATAAATTAGAACTCATTTTAATTGAGAAAGAGTTTATCACTGAGATCTGCTGCATAATATTGCAAATTGATTAAACAAATAGTACATAGATACAATTTACTAGTTGGAGTCTACAATATTTTTTGAGATGACCTACAAGTAGCAAATAAACATTGAGAAGTATTTATATGAATAACCTATATTTAGTTTGTGTTGTATTCTCCATATACAACCTTGAAATGAATTTTGTTGGGTTGATTAAGTAATACACTACTGTCTCATAATTAGTTTTTAATTAAATCTGTTAAGTAATCAGAGCAATACTTGTGTTGAACGCTTTCTTCATTGTGGGAATTATTTTCTGCTTTGTGTGCTTATAAAATTGAGAGAAGGATAAATAAAACATTGATGATCAGCAGAAAAGACAAAAGATTTTGTAAGTATTGGAAAATTTTGATAAACTATGAGTGGAAATGCTTAAACAGACTAATATAAAGGAGAATGTTAAAAATGTTTAGAATATTTATGTTTTCATTAAAGGCATTATTTATACTAAGGTATTATCTCAGTTTAGGGATGCAAAATGTCAGCCGTCAGCCCAGAGTCCTTTTTGCAGTCCTCTGATTGGGTAGGGGCAAAATGTCCAGGTTTTAGGGGGGCATTTATTAGAATTCAGATAGGTACAGGTGCAAAAAGGATTCATTATGCTTTGCAACAGTGAGGACAGGCTCACAACCATATCATCTCTTAAACTGTTCTCCACAGGCCTCACTTATTTTGGAAGTCCGACCTTTAAGCTTGAATCTGGAGTGTCATTATGTCAACAGAAGTTGCACACTCTTGTCTTAATTTGAAGACTGATTTCTCAACACATCTCAATTTTTCTTCAGTTACTCATTTTTTAAAAAAAGAGAGAGATTGTATTGTTAGTACTGCTTTGGACACAGCATTTAAAATATTCTTGTTCTGGATTTCTGTTCGGGAAATGTTCATTTTCAAAAAAAATCTTGTCATGGACATTCCTTCATGTGATTGACATGCATATATAACATTTGTTCTTGCAGATATAATTTAACAAAAAGTTTTTCTAGTCGACTACTAAATATAATTTGGTAAGAGATTGTGGTATTTGCATTTTGAAAGGAAAGGAAATGTATGAAGGATATAAATCCAGTTTTGTGAGCAAAGATTCTCATATGTTTCCTCTGCAATTGCTTTGAATTTGGGGTTTTTTGGGGTAGTGGTGGTTTGATTGGTGGTCAATATTTGTAGTAGCCATATTGCATTTCTGGTTTTAAAACTGTAGCCTCCTAGAATCTGAGTTGATGTAAGTTAGCCCACTAACTATTCGAAACTCTGTGGGGTATTTCATTTACTCACTAATTTCTTCTGTGATTATTCTGTCCACAGAATAAATATTGCTCACTCCCTCTGTATTTAAATGTGTCAGTATTAGTTTTCTAAAAAGCAACAGTTCATTAAAGATGAATTCTTATGCAAAGCCTATACTATGTCTCATAGTTGCCTTTCCCTACAGTGTCAGTGCAGAACACAGACATGGATTGTTTCATTATTTTATATACTAAAAAGGAGTATTTCTGCTCCTATGTGGACTACAACTTTAACGGGGGTGCTCTGCCCCTGAAGTTGTTAGCTGCTGTTCTTAGAGAATAGTTTTCCAGTTTTATACTGTTCCAAATAAATATACTGAACCATGCCACATTGTCTGGAAATATCACACAGGTAAATATTTAGTAATGGAAATATCACACAGGTAAATATTTAGTATTTTAAATTCTTTTTATTTTAGTTACTGTTTTTTTCTTGATTATTCTCTGTGAGGCTCTCAAAAGTCATTATTTAAAGTATAAAAGTACATTAAAGCAATATATACATGATATAATGAACATAAAGACCATAAATATCAAATTTTAAAGTTTTCTTTGTTCCCTTAAATGCAAATTTAAATAATTTAAGATCTTGAGGGCTCAACCTACTACCCTTATAGCTCTCTTGATGAGGAGTTGCGGAAATGGTAGCTCAGTACATGTGGAGGTTGCTTGGTTTGATGAAAGGGTTCATGGTGCCTTAATATTATGCTTGTTTATTTGGCATGTATTAAAAGTAGATTAGCTATATTGACTTGATTATAAACTCTGAATCCAGATGAATACCATCCTGCTGTGTTACAAATTAAATGCATAATTTAATGAGTGTACATCCCTCTTCATTTTTTTTTTTGCATTCTATTTACCACAGTTCAACAACACATTCAGTTTACGTCTATAAAGACAGCAATATTTTTTCATAATCTGTACTGTAATGATTAGGAATTCTTACCATTTAGCAGGCAAGAATCCTCACATAAGCATACACTTAAGGCTAAAACAGTGACCAAAATGAGACAGATAATATTGAATGCATTTAATAGATAGGTTACTATTGATGTTACCAGTTTTAAATAAAACTAAAATAAGATAGGATAGGATAGAATAGAATAGAATAGAATAGAATAGAATAGAATAGAATAGAACAGAATAGAACCTTGAAGGTCTTCTAGTCCAACCCCCTGCTCAAGCAGGAGAACCTATACCAATACAGACAGGTGAGTGTCTAGTCTCTTCTTAAAAATCTCCAGTGATGGAGCACCCACGATTTCTGGGGGTAAGCTGTTTCACTGGTTGATTGTCCTCACTGTCAGGAAGTTTCTCCTTAATTCCAGGTT